TACTTCAGCATTGATCTGTTTCAAAGGTCTCTAACAGATGGCATGTGAAGAGTTAAAACAATTAAAAGCTCACCTATTTGTAGTAGTCACTCTCAACAAGTTACAGACTCACAGCAGCAGGAACTAGGGGCTGTTAGACTCTGACAGGCACAGGCTGTCACCCAGACACCTTCCTGCCCTGGGGCAGTGGCAGGTGGCTCATTTGATTGAATTAAGGCACCAGGCACAAGGAACTACTCTGTGAATGTTCCCTTTGGGACATCCTGTCTTTAAGGAAGTTCTCTGCACTGCCTTCCTTCCAAGCAGAGGGCAAACCAGGGTAACACTGCCAAGCAGCCTCTGACCAGCTAGCATCTGGCCTGCCAGGCCACCACACCCGAATGGGTTATGTCTACACAACAATGTTTGATTCTTCAGCCTGTCAAAATGGGACTGAAGCTTCAGCTGCAAGGATCAGTGATACTCACCGGATCTGAGTGGTTAGGAGAAAACAAGTAAAAACCTAGAGAGGCAGCAGGGAAGGGAGAGAAGGAGAGAAGAAAGGGGGAAAGAACAAAAATAGTCTGTTTAATGTCAAGCATTAGTGAGTCTCTGTTCCCAAAAAGAAGGTTGTGCTAAGAGTGAGCCCTCTCTAAAATCATGAAGAGAAGAGTATCTGGAAGGCCTTCTCCATATAGATTTGTCACTACATGACATTGGCATTTCACCAATCCTTTTGTAAAACAAACTTTTTGGGGATGGTTTGAGTATAGGACTTGTAAGAGGTACACTACAGATACATATATTTGTGGGAATGTAGACTAAGCTTACAAGGATTGAGGAATAGTTGATGGAACCACAAACACACAGACCACAGGCTATCCTCTAGCAGAGGTCAAAAGGACCTTTGTCTCAAAATCAAATACTCAGCTTCTAGATCTTTTGGATCTTTAATTCTGCCTTCCAGATGACTGCAGATGAAATGGGATAAATGGAATAACTTGGCAGGACTTTGAGTCTGATCAGCTTTATATTCATCCAGGCTGTCTTGTCTGGTTTAAGAGCATGACTTCATCTTCCATAAATACAACTCACCCAGGATGGCAAAAATCACCATGAAGAAAAGCAGGAGGAGAAGAATGTCAATAAATGGTGGGAGGGACTGGAAGATCTGTCGCAGATTTCTGGAAGATAGAACAGCAACAAAGGAAAACTTGCATGTTTTCTCCTCCAGGTTGGCAAGGGAAAAAAACAACCCTGACAACACACCATACTTAAGGACTTTCTTCCCACTCCATCCAAGGATTACAAGTAGAAAGCTAAGATTGTTTCCAAGCTACCTATCTGTCCTTTGCAGTCAGCTCTCAGGTACTGCAAACAATACTAATGTCGCCCTGTCAACTTTCCTTCTCCAGACTAAAGACAAGCTCTGTGATTCAATTGTGCAGTTTACAGACAAACCTGGGAGCCAGAAACAATACAGCCACGTGTGCCTTCTGAGGTGGTTTATACCGCTGAGGACAGTACACATAAGCAATAGGACAAGGGGTAATTGGTTCGAACTGAAACAGGGGAAGTTCAGGTTAGATATAAGGAAGAAGTTCTTTACTGTGAGGGTGGTGAGGTGCTGGCACAGGGTGCCCAGAGAAGCTGTGGCTGCCCCATTCCTGGCAGTGTTCAAGGCCAGGTTGGACAGAGCCTAGGGTGACATAGTCTAGGGTGAAGTGTCCCTGCCCATGGCAGGGGGGTGGGGGGGGGGGGGGGTTCAAATGTTTT